ACGATAATTATGTATTCATTGCCTTCGAAGAGAGTCCGTTTCGTCGCACAAATTGTCACTCTTTATTGAATTCCCCGTTCGAAAAAAAATTTTTTAATTTCGTGAGTGAGCGGCGGCTGTCACGACCGCCAGTCGAAAAGCAATCGTCATCGTTGAGAAGTCAGGCTGCCGCACTTGTCTCGCAAGCGGGGATATTGAGCTGACGCGTGAGTTCCGGCAATTTCTGGCGTGTCCAACCGTTTCGGACGAAAATTCGACCGTCACTCGTGACGGTCGTAACCTCTCACGATCGTTCCGAGTCGAAGCGGTGTCACCTCTCTCAGGGACTCGCGATGACTCACGCGGTGAAACTGATCTCGTACTCAACGCCGATGCCGCACCATCAAGCTGTATCCCTTGCATTCCTCTCTAGCGTTTTACTTAGACCTACTTAAAAGGGTTGGATCGTTCGATGCTCTTAGGGCGGTTGTATCGGTATTCGGATGAACGTCCACGGATAGCTCAGCCCGATCGAAATACCCGGCGCGTCCCGCGCGACCATTCATTACCCGAGTCGTCTCGTTCGTTAAGACGAGGCTGTTAAAGAGGCCACGGTTAATTGAGTTTTAGGAATTCATTTCGTCGCCGATAACCCGACGTGCTCTCCTCACAACGCGCACTGCGGCCGACCTCTGGGAATTTCGAGCGCGGCGCGATATCCCTCGAGAAATAAGAAAAAGGGGATACGCCGCCGCGTGTATCGTCGCACATACTTTCGTGTCTTCTTACGATTCGATGTGGGTGATCGCGATAATCGAGAACGTATTTCAGCGTAAATCACGCGGCGTGCATCGAGAAAGTTTCAGGTGCAGCCGATACGTCCCGAGACTGTAATTTATTTCAGCTGTTACCGGCTCTTATCCAGCTGACCGGCGATTGCGCGATGAACTTTAATTTTCATCAAATCCCGGCCTTATATGGCCACCCCGGATGGATAATCCTGAGTACGCCGGTAGACAGGATCGGTCCTTTATTTCCCGGTAATACTGCGACGCGCCGGAATCCAAGTTGTAATTTACATTTTATTACGCGATCCCGTATCTCTACAAAGTGCAGAGAACGATTCGTATGCCATTTGGAGTAGCTCGTAATCGCATTACCGAGAATATGATTCACCTACGAATTCATCATCGTAACGAAGCACAAGACGAACGGCGCCGCGTCTGTGTGTACGAGTGCGAGAGCGCGCGTCCTTTTAAACGGACGTAATCCTCATGATTCCGCCGCGCGTTTTTAAACAGAAACGTCCCAAAGTGACGCGCACACGAACGCACATTCGCAGATTGCTCGTGTGTGTTCTGCGCGGCGTTTCCATCCGTGCGTATCATGTCACGCGAGGAAAAGCGAAGGGGCGGAGAAGAAAATGTGGAGGCTGTAGAAAGTTTTGTTTTGTCGGAAAGCAACATATATCGTCGTTCGACTCGGCTCATTCACGTCGGCATTTGTTGTTGGACCGTAATCTCTAATGGCTCCTATGGGCATTTAAATAACCATCTCGCCCACCCACCATCACTTAACTCTCTCTCTCTCTCTCTCTCTCTCTCTCTCTCTCTCTCTCTCTCTCTCTCTCTCTCTCTCTCTCTCTCTCTCTCTCTCTCTCCGTCTCCTTTTTCTCTTTCCCGTTCTTCTCCCTTTCTTTTCTCAGAATCCCGGCACTATCGCAGGCGCACGTTCTGACGATTGAAAAAAAATGACTGCTCTCTCTCTCTCTCTCTCTCTCTCTCTCTCTCCCTCTCTCTAATGGGATTTTCCATTTTTTGCACCTATCGAGTTCCCGAGATGCGGATGTATAAATACTTTGCCAGCGAGACAGTGAAGGTGAAGGAATGCGATCTGGAATGATGGAAAAGTCGCGTCGCAATTTCTGACGCCAACGGATCTCGTTTACTTTTCCGACTGAAAGAGTTTCAGAGTCTTTAGCATTCTTACTGTTTCTTCGTCACCGCCACGACTACCCAAAGCCATTGTTCGTTCGCCGTTGGGAGAGTATTGTCCTGCCAAGGGTCAAGGGTCGCGCGCCCGAGAAATCGTAGTTGCAGAGAGACACGCGGATCGTTACGGTGCGGAAGGAAAATCACAGATGGACGAAGACGAATGAGTAATATTGCATTACCGAGATGAAAATGTACGACGTCGGGAAAAAATGGCACTGCCAAAATCCGTCTGCGAGCACGATGGATCTCTCTTCCTCCCGCTCGCTCGCTCGCTCGCTCGCGGCACGGAACGAGGATGAGTCAGCGGAGGTTAGTCATACGAAACTTGGTTAGTCGACGAATCCGCACAAGAGCGAAAGCGCACTTTTAGGGCACTCTCCCAGCAACCCGAGAGCCTCCCGGGACCCGGGAACGGCAGTTCGCCGTGCGATCGATTCGGGCAACGATCCACCGATTAAATTTATATTTAGTGAGTCGTTCGTGTCTCTCTGGGATAAGCCAATGCCGCACGGAATTCCGTCGGCGTCCGTGAGAACGGAAAAATGCTCTCAAGGAGGAAGATTAAATCGAGTCGCTGATGGAACATACGCGGAAGTTTTATGATCCGCGCTTAATGAACGCCGGCCAGTGCTCGTTGGAGGCTCGTTCAACTTCGCTCTTGATCAGACAACTCGAAACGAGACGATCCGAGAGACGGGGGCGTCTGCCCGGAGGAGTGGAAATCAGCTCGAACTAGCCGAGCTATGGAGCGACGAGGAGCTGCTGTGCGAATTGGAACACGGCGCGGCAATAACGCGAGAGATTACGGATTACGGATTACGCGAAATTAGCGCGACGCGAGTGATGCAGCGAGACGATTCTGCAGTCCCCGGCGCGGCGAGTTGATGAGTTGCACACATCGCGATCGCTCGCTCTCACTCGCTCGCTCGATCGCGCGAGGGAAGAAGTACCGCCGAACCGCGAAAGTAATGCCCCGGGATCGTGCTGATAACGTCAGAGCGTGAGGGAGTGCGCAGCGGAGATAAGACATCGCGAAGCCGACGATGGAATTCGTGTAATCGTCTTCAGGAATTTCGTGGAATCGCTCGCGCGACGCCGGCCCGAAATAAGCGTGTTACGTCAATGGCTCAACGTGCACCGTCGCGATATCTAAGCCAGACGTCGTTCTGCGCGATCAATATTGAACAATCGAATGTTTACTTACCCCAGAAAAGGGACACGATATCAAATCTTTATCGAAAATATCGTCAGATGTTGCCGATGACGAGCAACGTCATGTCTGTTGGCGACCTTCTTAGCTGGCAAGAGTCGCGCTTGCGACCGAGTCAGCTGATAAATACACAAACCAGCTGAAACTCACTAATCTAACTCACATCAGAGTCGATCGAATCGAGCGCGGACACGTATCGCTGATCGAAACATAAGCCGAGGGCGCCAATTAAATTGAAAAGACAAAGGAACAATGTTATCACACGGTCGTTTAACACTAATTTAATACAATCGTAAACTGCGCCGTCAAAACCCTATACTATACGGTATGTTTAAATCAATTAACAGACAGTGTTTATATGCTTGATCTTGTTTGACATATATCACGGTACATTTAGAATTCGATCAGGTCACTAATTTTACATTATTTTTCGATGTTTTGCTTACTGTTTCTCTTTTCGTTTCATAATTGGTTAATCGCTCAATCGAGTGCAAATTTCTTATATTTTGTTATTAGTGTGGGAAATCTTTTCCTGCTTATATTTGTAATAAGAATAATAGTCGCTTTCTTCTTTCAGAGAGAGAGAGAGAGAGAGAGAGAGAGAGAGAGAGATAAAAAATTAGAACAGATGTATCAGAGATACGCGTGTTGACGCCTCGATCGCTAAGTATTTCATTACGCCACGATAATCTTCTACATCCTCTTTGAGGATGTTCTAAACGATAGGAAGTTAATTTACCTCTAATTACCCGGGGCCGTTAATAGGGACTTATCGATTCGTGCAAAAACGAGCATCCGCTTCATCGCGGCGGTCCGTCCACGCGAACGAGCGACCGGCAGGAAGAGGGGGGGGGGGAGAGAGAGAGAGAGAGAGAGAGAGACCGCGCACAAGAAGCGATTTTAAGCCGCCGTGAAATGACCGGCCGGAATCGCTCCGGTTTAATAACTCGACGTTAGCGGCCGGTCATGCTGCGCGAGCGAGAGAAGCGCGCCGATTATCTCCAGGTTCGCGATGCACTTATTGTCTTCGCGCAACGACCCGCTTTCGAGCCGACTTATTAGCCGGCCTAATTAAAACATCGCCCGTTACCGCGAGGGACGCTGCCGCGCCGCTCGCGAGATGCTCGCGAGAGACATGATGGCGACGCGCGTCTTCGGGAGGGGCATCTTTCCCGATAACGAGCAACACGGTTGGATACAATTAGCGATGAAATCAATCGCCGTCCCATCAATATGCATAATCGCACACACGAGCGCTATTAGCCGTGTCCGCGTGAACAAGCGAGCGAGCGAATGAGCGAGCGTGCGTGTGTCTGTAACGTCGATGCGGTACGGTGTGTCGAGAGATGCGAAGGTCTCCTCTTACTATTAGCTCTCTACAGCTCCTTCGGCCGTCTCATGTGCGTAAGTCGTTTTAGATGTAATTAGTGAGTGATTTGCACCGACTGATGATAACGGGGGAAGGGGTAGAGAGGGGCGAAAGAGGCGAGCCGGTGAGAGAGAAAGAGGGGGGAGAGAGAGAGAGAGAGAAAAAACGAGTCGAGGACTCGTGCGAGAGGGAGAGAGAGAGAGAGAGAGAGAGAGAGAGAGAGAGAGAGAGAGAGAGAGAGGGAGAGAGAGAGAGAGAGAGAGAGAGAGAGAAGGTGCCTTTTTGCTTTCAGAGTAGAACCAGTCCGAGGCGGACGTACCGCGGCTGTTTCTCCGCTCGCGGGAGGGACTTTGTCATGGCCGAGTGATATCCAATCGGGGATATAGTTAGAGGGAACGTGGTATCCAATCGACGGTATGGATTGCCGCTAATTGGCTCCGATACTCACGGACAATCATCTGACCGCGTCCAGGTGGTCGGCCATCCGCGGAATAGCTTCGATGCCGTGGATGATATTGACGATAGCATCGAAATCGTCCATCGACCGTCATTTCCTTCGCCGGCGCTTCATATACGAATCTGAATCTTAATCCGTATCTCGTTTCCTCTGCCATCGATTTCCGAAAGAGAGAGGGATGACCCATACGGCAAAGTCGTAGATTACCGTCTGCCGGTGAAAAATGAAAAGGAAAAGGAAGGAAGAAAAGAAGAGCGCGTAGCATCGCAAGAGATGTTACGGTACCCCGGGAGAATCTACATGTGCGACGCGATTAGTAATATTTCATATCGCGTTATTCGATCTTCGTAGCGCAGGATGCAAATTACCTCCACCGACGTTGGTGGTCCGACTTATTTCTTAATTAGCTTTACTAGCTCGAGGGTGCGCGCGGGCACGGCCAACGAGGAAATATCCCCGTTGCTCCTTTTTTATCAACAAGCTCTACTACTCCTACCGCTACTCCTTAGCGGGATCTCGACAGGATCCACCCGTGTCATTAACAAGCGAACACGCGGAGCAGCCGAATCGCTTACCGATGTACTACTTGCCGGCGTCCGGGTTCCGAGTACCTCCTCCTCTCCTCCTCCGCCCCGCCCCCCCCCCGTTCCTCTCCTTTTTCTTCTTTTTCTTTTGCACACGCGAGCACACGTCTATACTCAACGTCAATTCGGAGTTGTGTTTGCGCTTGGCTTTTCGGAACGAGTGCTAAAATACCTGGCGCTACGCGCGTCGTTAAATCACGCGGCGTTAAATTACACGCCAGGAATAAGCGCGCGCCGGTCCTCTCGGTCATAAAAGAGGAACCTCGAAATGCTGTTAATTCTAACAAACACGGGGAGAGAGGAGTCTCCTTTCCTCTCCCGCCGGAGCATCATCGACATCGAAATCGCAGCCGGATGTATGTCGAGCGAGCACATCTCCCGGCGGAATCTTCCGAAAGTGGCAAGTCCGTCGATCGTACCGCCAAAAATGTACCGCGGCGCGCCGTAAGTGGCTGGCAGGCGTAAGTAATTAAAATTTTATGCACAGGCATTTGCTAAAATTTTTGCGCGTGCTCGCGAGAAGCGAAAAGCACCTCGCAATGATACCTTGTAATTAGGAGTCCTCGCGACAGGCTATTTTCAGACGGACAACGAGGTGGGCTTGACGTGCGGTGGGATGAGCGCGCAAGTAGATACTGTCGGCACTAGTCAGACACGGACTTCTCGCGCGGCGGCTGACGTCGCTCGAGTTAATTGCTGCATGCCGACCTCGATCGACACGCACGGACGATGCAGTCGGAAAATTGATCTTTGTCGCGAATCTGACCGATGTGATAAGATGATAAGAGATCTAGATCGTGGCAAATTTACGTCGCGAGACATCTCGCGCGCTCCGCTTCGAGAGCTCGCAGTCGTAAGTAGTACAACAATCGCCTTTCCTCCAATCCTCGTCCGTCGGGCAAAGGTTAACCGCGAGAGAGAGAGAGAGAGAGAGAGAGAGAGAGAGAGAGGAGAGAGAGAGAGAGAGAGAGAGAGAGAGAGAGACACCGTGCCTTAATTCGCGACACGGATCCTCAATCCAATTTTGCGCGAAAGGCAAATCCGCCAGGCGCCGCAAACACAGACGCAAAGAAATATCCGGCGACAGGCATCGGCGGCGACGGCACTCGTCTGCGAAGTGGACGTCCGTCGGGGACGTATCGTTCGTCAAGGCTTTCTTATGGTGCAAGTTCGCCACGTAAGAGCCGGAGAAAGCAGAAGTACATCTCTTCCTTCTTCTTCTTCCTCCCCCCTCTCTTTTTCTCGCTCGCGTTGCATACGTACGTATATGTGTATCCCCGCCGACGTTCGTCATCGCGCGTCTCTCGGTGTATGTGTGTCCCACGGATGAGTACACCCACCCGCCCGAGATTCGCGGGGATGATGACGTCCGACGTGGACACCTACACGTACATCGGCAGCCGCCGTCGAGTTGAGATACTTTTGTTTTTACGGCTTTACGAGCCGTATCGCCGATTGCTCCGTTTGTTCAGGTTCAACGATCGGCACCCGGATTCCGATGGCGATTTGTCGTCATTCCCGAGTCCTCGTGGGAGCAGTCTCGTTTCTGCTTTCGGCGGAATCGCCCTCGTCCATCCCTCCTCCTTTTCCTCCTCCCTCCCCCCTCGTTATCCCTCGTTTCTTCTTCTGCTCTGCTTTTCTTTCGGACGCTCGTGCGGCGTATCAGGAAACTTGAGCCAATAGAGCTCACGATTCTCCGCCCCCCCCTCCTCCACCCTCGTACCGAACTGTCGCCGCGTACTCGATGAATTTACACGTACGACGCTTCCAAAGTAAAATCAGCAAGCGAAGAGTGCAAGAAGTATAAAAGGGCGAGGCCATTTTCCGCGATTCCGTTACCAGACGCCAGCGCGAACCTGCCTTCGACACTTCATCACCGTTCCTCCTTTCCTCGCTCGCTTTCATTCTCACGTCCCGATCGCTCGGCGATTTACGAAAGCGACCGTCGAGACTCACGTTCGTCCATCGCGAGTAGCGATGGATCCTAGCGACTCGCGCGCACTAAAATTCGCATCGTGAGCCGAGAGAGGCGCGCTTTGGCCGCGAGCGATTATAACGCGCTTACGCGACGAGATTGCCCGTACAAGCGCAAACATTGTTCCATCGTCGCGCGAGCACACGTAGTATCGCGCGTAGGCGGACACGCCGGGCGGGTCCGCGCGATGAATTATACATCGCGAATGTTTTCGGTCTCGAATTTGCATCGCCCGAACGGCTACCGCTCGCTATTCCCAACCGCGGCGGCGGCGGAGGCGGCGGCGTCGGCGGCGGCGTCGGCGGTGGCGGCACCCTTCTTCCCTCGTCCCTCTCGCTTCTTTCTTCCGGTCTTTCCGATTCTCCCTCCGCGTTCTCGCCGGCCAAAAGAGAAGAAACAAGATATACGACCTCACGATCCGCCGGCGTGTCTAGCTGGTACCACCGGGCTATACGCGCCTGGCGCTACGTGCGGCCGATGTGATCTCGCCGAACGTAGAAATTAATTATCAACGGTCGCGTGTCTCCACCGGCCGGAATTAACGATCCGCGCTCGTGGCGGACTTGGGACATGTTTATCGAAGAGCGCCCGAGCTCTCTTCGAGGCAGAGAGAGAGAGAGAGAGAGAGAGAGAGAGAGAGAGCCAAGAAAGTAATCCTTCGTTAAACGGGAAAGAAAGTAACAAGACGCTCCGCTTCTTACGGGGCGCGCGAAGGCGAAAGAAATCGTTTCTCCGAAATGGAGATTTTTTTCACAAATTAAACGTCACCGTCAGCGAAGCGCTTCGCGTTAGCCAACCGTCGCGGGATTACCTGCCGGGGGAGCCTCTCGGTTACGAGAAGCGGGACAAAGCGTTCGCGCACAATTGGCGGAAAGCATCCGCCGAGGATGAGGTAAAAGCAGCGTCAGGACAGGGCGCTTATCGTGGGATACGCGCGATAATAAACGTCCCTTTTACGAGCGCGGAAAGCGTAGATACGCGCCGAGCGCGGAAAAGAGCGAAGCGCGGCCAAGAAGACTGGCGCGGAGCTGAGGGGGGCTGCTGAGTTGCGGAGGCGCCTCGCGTACGAGAGAGCGAGCGTCGCCGTTTGTTTTGCACGCGCCGGCGGAAACGAATCTCCCCGATAAAAGCCGGAGTTACGATCGAGCTTGAAGTCGGAGCTGGAAAAGAGATTGCCGGCGCGGGGCCGCGCGCGCGCGCGCGCGCGCGCGTCATGCGATTCGGATCGATATCGCGTTAATTGCATGCCTTCCTTCGCGATTGTGCGCTCGCGCTCGCGCGGAAACGCCGCGCCCGCGCCGGCCAGCCGGCCGGCCGGCGCGCCGCCGATCTCTTCTTTTATTCCCGCGTCAATCGGATCTTCATTATCGCGGCGAGCGCGGCGCTGATTGCGACGTTTCAGCGGTAATTTCTCGCGCTCGAGCGACGGACAGATTTCTCGAGCAAACAAGCTCGCGAGATTTACGAGGAAAGTGCGAAATGCGTGAAATTTCGCGCCGAGTGCAAATAAACGGATGAATAAACAAACGAATAAATATATTTTCGTCCGCTTCTCTCTGTTAAGCGCGCGCCTCGTCACCTGGCCGCGAGGCTGCACTATCTTGGTATTCTCCCTCTGCCAGATATCGCTCGTAATTCATTACCGTCCGGCGTGAGTGAGTTCTGCTCGTAAAGTGGGAACGAGCCGGTCTCTCGGCGACGACGAAAACAATAGCCGTAATAGCAATCTCTTGAGCGGCCACCGCCGCCGTCTTCTACCCTGTCGCGCCGGGCGATCGGAGAAGGAGCGCGCGCGCGCGAGACGAAACCGCCGCCGTTGTCGTTGTCGTCGTCAGGACGAGAGCCTCGAGATTGAACGGTGCAACGCGACGAGGAAATCCTCGGCGGCAATTTTGCACAAAGGCTCTTCGCCACCGGCGCCGTGGAGGACCCGAGAGAGAAACAAAAACCGCAAGATCCCGAGAAAGAGACGCGCGCATCAGACATGCAACAGCGACGCCCCCGTTGTAAATTATCCCGCAGGGAGACGAAAGGGGGCCAGAGGTGAAGCGGACGACGACGACGACGACGACGACGACGACGACGACGACGACGACGACGACGACGACGACGACGTGGACAAAGCGCGAAGAGCGGAGAACGTCGGCGAGACGTGTCGGAGGACGAAGAGGACGAAGAGTTACGAGAAAGAGAGAGAGAGAGAGAGAGGAAGGGAGAGGAAGCGCGTGATGTTCGAAACGGAGAGTCCTCTCTCGGGCGGTCTAATTAAGAGCTCAGGCTAATTCAATTATAATTTATGCCCCGAGGTCGTACCCCCTGGTTCTTGGCGCTCCCTCCGAGTCCGAGGGCCTCCTAAAGGCGCGCGGGTAATCAATTATAGCGGGCTAAACGCCACATGTCCGCGGAGCAATAATTTACAACGGATTTCGGTCTTTCGTCGATCCTTCGTTCGCGGGCGTCACGCGGACGGCACGCGGACGAGCCAGGTCATCGTCGGCGTGCGAGGTTGCACGAGGCGGACAGAGGAGCAAGGGCTGAAAGCTGAGACGACGAAAGGTGAGGCGCAGTGGGAGGAGGCGACGTGTCCGCCGCTTCACGGAATTGAGACGTCCTAGATTATTTGTTTCGAGTGCTGCAACCAGCGCTCCGCCCAGCTCATCTCTCTCTCTCGCGAGCTCTTCTTCCGCCGGCAGACACCTGCGTCCTGCGAGCGCTTCTCCCGCCGTTTCCTTCTCGCCTCGGCAACC